GAACCAGAAAAGTTGAGCTGCTTCTGAACTATCTTGGTTTTGTTGTTACAGTTAATGGCTTTTTTTCTTGTCTGAAATTAACAAGAAAAGCCACTCTTGGTTCTCTGACATGCAGATAAGTGACAGTACAGCTCAATGGAAACAGGCAGCTCTGGTCACCTTGGTCTGAAACTGGGTCAGGGATGCCAACTTGTGGTTATACTCAAGGAGTATGCGAGTAATGCTGGGGATTCAGACACTGAGGACAAGATCACGCTTATCTTGCGGGCAGAACCTGGGTAATTCAGCTTTAGTGCTATGACAGAAGCCATCCTCCTCACAACTAAGGCACGTTTTACGCACAGTTTTTTAAGAAGGTCTCAGTTCTGGGCAATGCATGAGGGGATCTACGCGAACAGCCAAGCCAAGCCCCGCACTGCTGTACCACCTCAACCCAAAGGCAAGCCACCACCGGGAGATGCCCACTGCAGTGCATTACGTTGATGCTTGTGGGAGAACGTGCACCGATGGTCCATCCAGCTCCAAACACTGTTAAGACTGCTGGAGAAATTCAGTGGGAAATACTACACAGAATCAATTCATTATGCTTGTAACTCCATCTCTGATACTGAAAAGAGAACTTTTACCTGCCAAGAGTCACCCTGACCTGGGGAACTGCTACAGAGTGTGGTGCACACAAAAAGCCTGTAAGCATGTCAGGAAGGCTTTTGCTATTAAGCAAGTGCTAAAGGATCCTACAGATCGGCTAGTAATCACACCATCAGCTCCCAAATACACCCTTTCTCAGGAACTGTCCCTAAATGCCTCAAAAAAACACCTGTTCTCATCTCCAAAAGCAGAGTGCCCTTAAGCTGTACAGCAGCGAACAAATTCCTTCAGGACTGTAACAACCAGTTAAGGGATGTGAAGCAATTACTTTTATACCCACACAAATGAAACTCCTCCAATGCAATTAACTATCCCTTATCATCTACTGTTGAATTCATGGAAAGCATATGCTGTACACTCTCTCCTCCCCTAGCTTTTCCACAATTTTAATCAGTTTGTTTTAGCTAATGTAATGGAACCTACCTATTCTAGAGAAATAATACATGGCTGCAGATTATCTGAATATTTTTAAATGTCTTTTTTTCCTTTTAAATATAATTTCATTTGAGATTTTGCAGCTTTCATTTCTATTAATAAATTATCATTTCTTCTTTATAAGTGATGAGCTAGTGTGTCATGTAATTTTTTCCTCTAAATAGACCAAGACTTTGATCTAATGCAAGCCCTTGCTGGAAGTAGAGAGACTTTCTGTCTAATTTAGTTATGAAAAATATTCAATTAAACTTGGGAGTTTAATTCATTTAGTTATGAAAATTAAATGAGCTCAATAAGGTACATTTGATTTGCCTCGGGAAAAAAAAAAATTAAAAGAATCTCTGAAAGAGGAACAAATAAGAAGGGAGAACAAAAGCAACTTTTTTCTGCTCACGTTGAAAGGTGGATAACATGAAGAGCCCAAGTTCCGTTTTGTGTGCCTATATAAAACACATCCACAATGAGCTCATGCAAAATTTATATCCAGAAGCCACATGAATATCTGGTATTAACACTCTAATTGTCTCCTGGGTGACAAAAGTCCCTGTAGGTCATAATCGAGTCCATCCCAGTCAAGGGAAGATCTGACTCCTCACACCAGGAAGACACCATCCACAGGCAACTCTTCTCCATCTCCGTTTGGTGAAAAAAGAAAACATTGGAATTATTTTTCAAAACCAGAACAGAGCAACATGGATCTCTCTGACAGAAGCCCCCTTCTAGTTCTGCGGCCATCACTTACCATTTTTGCAGATAGGACAGCACTGGTCAGGCTCGTACACCGGATCCACGCACTCGGTCTGGGGACAAGCTGAGACAGAGCACAGCACTTCACCATTGGCTTCACAGCGACACTTCTCACACGGAGAAACCTGAAACAGAAATCCAGTCACCTTGTACTCTGTCACTTAATGCCCTCCTGAAGTGTGCAACGCCCACCTTCCCATCTGCGTTGTTCCTTCCTTCTCCTCTTTTTCCTCCTCACTTTAAAACACATGCTTTTTGTGGTCTGAATAATGCAGAGAGCAAGGCTGGGCCCCTGCAAAATTACAGAACCGCAGCAGAAAAACACACAGGTTCTGCTTTGAACCTGTGCCCCAAACAGTAAAGTCCAAGGGATCTTGGAAACAAGAACACTTCAGACTTTTAACACAAACACTGCAAAAATTTCCCTACCACTTTTCTAATGAACTTCCAGCAAATGAATTTCATAATTTAGGTGAAATCCAGTTTAATTCTATTAAAGTTTCAAAAAGTAATTTAGCAAACGATATTGTATTTAAAGAAGAAAAATACGGAACTTCTTTCAATGGAAACCCTTACTGCAGTTTTTCCAGGTTTGAAAGCTTTTTGGTAGGAAGAAGTTGCATTTTATTGAAAACTGTCATTTTCAAAGAGAAGTCAGGAAAAAAAATCCTTTGAATTCAGGTATTTCCCATAGATTAACTGTATTTGGACCATTCCTATAATCATTGTAACTTTCTGAAAAAAATTTGCAATTCAAAGAAAGGGGTGAAGCAAAATACAGGTCATCCTTTTTACCTACTGAAATGTTACTGGTTTTAAATGACTCTACAGAATAGGAGTACCATCAGATAATTACTGGAATTATCTACTTCAATGAAATTAATTCCAAACAGAACAGCATCAAGGCCCTACTTAGCAAAAAATGGACTTTCAAATGTCTGCATGTGCCACATGTACAATTCCAGCTGTCCTCTCCAGTGTTCCCGACCAGGCGCTGCACATTGCATCGCTCATGTCCTCATACCACACAAAGAGCGGGAGGTGGAGGGAAGCAAGGGTGCTAAAGAGCAATAAATGGTATACTTCAAATCTCATTGCTGCGCTCCAAAAAACCACACTGTCATCCACGCTCAGGATGAAAATGTAGCTGAACTTTATTACCAGTGATCCTCTATATCCACAATCTATGCAGATTCTAGGCTTACTTCAGGATGACGTCATTTTTTACAGACCCTTTTTCATTCCAGACTCCAGCTGGCATGATCAACCACCTGCTGCATTTCTCCACTAAAAGCAGAGTAATCTCAACTCTAAAACAAATTATTTTTTGTGGAGAATCATCCAGTCATCTAACTTGCAGACTTTCTGGTTTCGTCCACCTATTTCTTAGGCAGCCCATCACATTTTTCCTCAAATCCCTTCTCTGCTTGCTTGCCTCCTTCACATCCTTCTCACTTCCAAAGCTCAAACATGCTGATGCTTGCACAGCATCATCTTCAACTAAATGCTCACCCATGCTTTGCCACTTCTCTTCCCACCTGCCAGGGCTGTTATTTGCTTATGCACTCGGATATCTTCCACGCCGTCCCCTCTGCTTAGAAAGCCTAAACAGGGTCTCTTGCTGTGTTGCTTTCCGCTTTTATTACTATTATTTATTTCAGGCTTCCTTTGCTAGCTACTCACTTCCAGATTTCTCTTTGCTTTACACTTGACCAAGGATAACACTACACCATACATTTATAAAATGCTACACGGAGGCTGACAGCCCAGCACTGCAGATTTTTATTGCAGGCTTTGGGACAAGAACTTTGTCCTGTAATTGTTTATAAACTGCCACATTCACTTGCAGAGCTGGAGTGTCAGCGGATGAGGAGGTTTCAGATCCAGTATTTAGAGCCAAGAGGCTTGCGCATTTCAGCTAATCACTTGAACCACACGTGAAATTTTGAATGTCAGCAAACTTGAGCGCCTAACTGCCTGCAAGTCAGTAGTAAGAATCCTTCCCTATGGAGTCATAAACAGAAACAATACTTAGTAAATTATGAAAACACGCTTTTTTTAAGGAGGACTGATTTTTTTTTTTTTAATTATTTTTAAGGAATCCTACTTGATCAAGGTACCAGAACTGAATTCCAAAGATCAGGCTCAACAAGGCAAACCTATAGGTTTCAATCGGTTTTAACACTTTTTGACATGACTTGATAAAAGCTGCAAATTTGCCAGTCATCACAGTTCAATGAGACCGGGAACTACAACGACAGATATTCCCTCTCCCAGCACACCGCTTAGTAGCTGTGCCACTCACTATTAGAAGTGATGTAAAAACTAGCGTATCTGATGATAATCAGGAAACAAGGCAGCACACAGATGTTATTCCTAAAACCTCTCATCTGTAAAATTTAAACATATTCTAATTAAGTAGGTTGTTTACTAGGATTCCAAATTTGACAGAAGCCTAAAATTCTTAGAACAAGAAGACATTTAATGAAGCACTGAAAATACTACTGAATGAGAAACAAAAATGATCTAATCTTTATCTAATGATGATGATTCTGAATAATGCATTTCCGTCCTATACAGCACATACACTTGAAGACTACATCTTTCATGAAAAGAGTGCACTGTTAATGTGATACTGCAGTCATGAACACCCTTTCTGTGTAACAGGACATGGGATTTCAGGGCAATACATATAGTACACCTTTAATAAGTACTGCTATCTGTACAACCCACCAATATGAGTAATGGTAGCAGAGTTAAGGAAGGTCTCCATGTCCCTATTTCTACAAAGCTCTTTTCAGGCATGTAAGTGAACCACAACGGCTGCTAAAACGGTGTTATTGTCAATCTTTATCTGTTCATCTTTGGACTAAATGGTAGTGTATTGCTTTTCATATATCAGGATGTAGCAGGAACTGTAGAAAATCCCCACTTCTTTCTGCATCTTAATCTTTCTGCAGCTTTATACTTGGAGACATAATCATCACTAGAGAGAGAGACAGACAATAACACCGTGCACATACATAACAACAGCTAAGTATACCAGAATGGAAAGCCTCATTTTGTCCTTCACTTCCTCTCCTCTACTCCTATAACGTAAGCACATTCCCCGCAGGACAGTTCCTAGTGGCAGCCAAGGGAACAGGCATCCCACTTGTTCATCTGGGAAACGACCAGCCCAGCAGCACTCGCGCTTAGCACATCTGACATAACCAGGCTGGACTGGAAATAACACGACCTATCAATCTCTCTCTGAAGACTAATGATACCATGTCTCTGTGGGCTACAAATGAAGCTACCAACTCTACAGCAGCAGTAGTTCTGCCTATGCAAAAACTATGGGAAGATGACGAGAGGCACAGAAGTCTTAAGTATTCACCAGGCAGCCATAAAACCCGTAGAAAATAAGAGTACAGATGGTAAAAAAAAAGCCCCCTTCTTTTGAATTGTTTAAACGTAAGTTTATGAGCAGATGTATAAATGGAGTTGCAGATGTTGTAAAAAAGCAAACACACCATTGTGTAAATGTGGGTAGATGTCCTACTAGCGGGGCATGAAGAAAACTGTAGCTTAGCAGGGATAGTAGGTTTATCCAGCAACTCAGTGTAAATTGTCATAATTAAGAAGTGACAAATCATTTGCACTTGCTGAAGTTCTGGTCCAAGCAATTTGAGCTTTCTCTTCCCCCTTTTCCACATGCCAAATTTTAATTAAAACCCAAAACAAACCAAAACCAACCAAACAAAAAATCTGAATTAAAAATATATATAAAAACTACATTTGGTTCCTTGAGCCTTGAAAACATCTATGTTTAAAAAAACCCAACCAACCATAATACCAAACTGATTTGCTATCATGACAACTTTGTATTAGTATTTCCTTGCCACTTTCACAACTCTGGAGAACATGAATGGAGTTAGGCTGACAGGAACAAACCTAACAGCCTTGCTTTTACTTCTCTATGTCTTCAAAATATCACAGAAGTTTCAAAATCGATCTGGGCTTGTCGACTTCCAGATTTCCAAGTTATTTACAAATAAATACAAATTTTAGTAGCAGAGAAATTCTAAACAAAACACCCAAAGCAACAACTTTCGAAAAATGTAGGTCTTTCCCAAACCATATTACACTTCTGAAGAGAATCTATGGTCTTTGTAAGCCTAGTACTTTATAGGTCAGCCTGCATTTTCAAATCTTACTGTAAGATTGAGAAACATCTAGTGAAGCACGTGCTCAGCCAGCTCCAGTGCAGAATTTCATCCTCATTGCATTTCACCAACTAAGATTTCTGCTCCCAGCTCCACTCGTATGGATGCTGTGATCCCTCTGCCATCCCGTCTCATGACACCCACAGGAGAGTAGAGCGGTGCTGATGGAAACAGCTTTATGAAACCTCGTCCTTCCCCCACACCTGTGCTGTGCTTTGTGTCGACATCCACGTCCCTTCTGAAAACCAAAACACGTGCATACAGACACACAAGCAAAGCCCGCAGGAAGGACTGAAAACCATGGAAGAAACGCATCAAACCTCCCACTCCCTAGCACACTCAGCTTCCAAGTTAGCACTGCCTCTGGTCAGGGCTATTTTTTGCCATGCCAAGCCATATATGAATTTTATGTAAGCAAACTCCCAAACTTGCATGCATCTATACACATCTATACATAAATGGTTGTGCAGATAACATCACTTAAATGTTAGGAGGTCACCTTTTTCTTCCTTCAGTGATCTTTGGTACTCTTTGCCACAAATAGCAGATGCAGACACAGAGACAAATCAGGTTGCTATCCACCTGTAACTCCTTCCCTGACCTTCATCAAGAGATAGCGCATTAGTAACCGCTCTATGACCATCATCTTTAAACTTGTAAAATGACCTTTGAAATCGTGCGCAGTTACTTGCATTTGCAATTGCTTCCACTGAGCAGCAGCAATCTGACTACATCTGTACCGTACCTCCACCGACTGCAGTGGCATGGGCAAACAGCTGCATTTACAGTTTTGTGCTCACAATATTGGAACCAACACTGAAGCTCAACTAAAAACCAAGGTCCTCACACATCAAAACAAACAGCCTAACTGCGCATCCCAAGCAGGCGACCTTCTCACGCCTGTTTCCAGTGCTGGCTAACACAAAGCAGGAAGGGAACCGACATTTCATTACAGGAAGGTATCAGCACCAGGGCTAAAGGCTGCACGGGGTGAAAAAAAAAACTGAAGGCCAAAGCCTCGTCAGAACATTTCTGTAAATGTCACCGTTCAGCATTCCCATTTTACCAAGGCTGCTGGCCACGTTCGACTGTAACAGGGAGCCCTACAGTTTTATCCCCTCACTACACGCTTAATACAATAAGGTATTTTAGGCTTGCTTCACAGCCATTAATACGACACCACTACATAAACACAAAGAAATGCAACTCATTAGAAGAGCATGGGGCAGAAGCCTTTAAAACTTTGCTAGGGAGACATACAGAGAACATGTGCAGAAGCATCACTGGTTTTGGCTACCCCTCAGCATTAACTTCTCTGTAAAAGGAAGGATCTCACAATCCCTCTCCAAACAGGTCACACTACCTAGCAGCTGTTCAAAGTATCTTCTCCTTCTTAAAGCAGAAAACTGCCACCCTGAAGCTGAATGCAATCCTTGAGGGTGACATGGAAAACGGGAGGATGATATGATGCTTTCTGCCATGCTTTGAAAAATCACTGATGATCTACATGTTACTGCCTAAAGAGAACAAGGGGAAACACTGATTTATTCTGGAAACAACAATTCTGCTCCTTTATTTATTTGTTTATTTTTCAAGAAATTGAAGAACATGGAAAGACATTATGAATCGAAGTTAAGTTTCCAAGAACACACAAATACTACAGAGAGCATAGGTGGCAATTTAATTACAGCCTTCACAAACACATTTTCTTTCCTGCCACCTTGAGAGGGGCTCAAGCTGCCAAAACCCTGAACTGGATTTCATACTCCCCTCCACATATTCAGCTCAAACATCTCTGGTGTATTCAGAAATGGGTTTTGAATCAGCCCTGTACCTAACAGTCATTCGCAAGGAAATTCTTTGAGCCTGCTCACAGATCTCAGCCACAATGAACTACTACAGCGAAAAGCACAAGGTAAGCAGCCAGGGAATCAGCCCCAACTCCAAAACTTTTCAGTGCTCTGTAATACGTTGCATTTTCAATGATAATAACCTCACACAGTGGTGCTAAAAAGGCCCTATTCTGAAATGATTTCCCTAAAGCTTTTCAAGTCCATTGTTTAGGTATCACTGTAACCCAGACTGCAAACCATGCTCCTATTAAAAAGAAGGCCCATAGTCACTCTCTAAGCAAACATTACATAACCTTGGCAGCACAGTTTAAAAGGTTAAAAAGGAAAAGAGAAATGACTGTTAGGAAAAAGGTATCATCATAGACTGAAGAGATGTCAGCCTGCAAAACCCTGATCGATCCCTGCAAGGCAGAGGTTCCACAGTTAATAGTTAAAAAAGGAAACAAATGTAATGCTGGAAATTCTAACAAAATCCACATCACCACCGAGTAGCATCCTTTCAAGTCGCATTTTTTACCGTAAACACCAAAGGAATTAACAAACATTAGCCCCCCCGGTTTAAAAATGTTACTGTATGACAGGGCAAGATAGGTCACATTTAAGGGGAGTATCTTACAGCACTGCTGAAGTAGTATGGACATGGAACTGAGAAGGGGAGGGGGGAGACCCAAAACACCCCCCAAGAAAGCACCTGGAGAACACGATACCCCTTCAAATGAGTGCAGGACCCACAAACCGACTTCTGGCTTCAGCCCTTACCATGAACTCCTCCAGGGTCTGGTAGGTCTTCCCTCGGAACTCGCAGTAGTTCTTCCTCTCCTTGCACTGCGGGCAGCACTGCGTGGTGTCTACCTGGAGGCAGCGCGGGTGGAGCCGGGGGCACTCGGGCTGCAGGCACAGCGGGCCCTCCTCCGTGCACAGGCATGGGCAGGCCGACGGGCCCGGTGCAAACTTCTCCCCGATGGCGTAGACGAAGCCGCTCTCGTCCACGCAGCCCTTCCCGCGGTAGTCCGGATAGGCGTACTCCTCTGGAGGCTCGGGAGTGATGCTCGCAACAGCTGCTGGGAGAGACGAATCTTCAGCCACCCGAGGCTCCTCGGGAGCAGCGTCCCTCTGCTCCTGCACCTGCACGCTCCCAGATTTACCACTCGTCCCCTGGCTGTTCCAAGCCTGCTTTTGCTTAGTCCAAGACTCCTTGTTCGAGTAGTTCCTGCTTCCCTTGCTCTTCCAGTCCCTGCCACCCTCCTCCCTCCCGCTCCTGCCGATCTCATTCATTCTCCCCGGGCCTGTCTGGCTGTCCCTTGCAGATGTGTGATCCCTCTTTTCCTGGCTCGCCTTTATCTCCTGCTTGTCTTGAGCCTTGGCCAGTTTTTGTACAGGTATGGTGGAGCTACAGAGGGCAACCATGAGGCAGCAGGTTACGAGGAGAGAACTAGAGAGAGCTCCAGTTGCCATTGCAGTAGAGCTGGGCATCACCTACGGCATCCCACAGGGGACACTGCATTCACATCGGAGGGAAGCGCTTCGATCGGATCCACAGCCCCTAGGAAGAGAAGGATTAGGAACACTTCAGCTTCTGCACTTCTCCCCCCCACTCCCCCCGCCTCCACCGATGCAACACCTCACACAATATGTAACCTGTCTTGGTAGTTTATTCAAAATGCAAAACAACAGCTTGGTGCTGCATTCCTCCTCCTCCTCCCCGGCTCTGCCAAGCCTTATAAATAGCAGGGCTCTGGACACGGACCTGGCGTCTTCGGCTCCACGAGAGCACCGGGCAGAACTCCGGTGAGTTCGGATTTGCACAGGGCAGGTACATGCAAAAAACCAGAGCGTTCGGGGGTTATTTCTCCCCTGCCAAACGACAAGACGTGAAAGGGATGGACGCATGCCGAATTCAGTGGAGCTCCCCCAAAACACAGCAGAGTCCGGGAACAGAAATCAGCCCTCTGAGCCCTACTCGCTGCCTGCATACGCGACGATTTCCATTTAATTTCATTCTTATCCAGTCTGAAGTGTGCGGTTGTTTCGATTTACTTGTTGTTTTGGGTTTATTAAATACCTATCAGTGAGACAACTAAACCCAAGCCCGTTACAGCGAGCGGAGCCACGCTGCCCCTCTCCCGAAGTACCCAGACAAGCCCGCGCCGCCCCCTTCCCCCCGCGTTTTCACGGCAAAGCGGCGCGCCGGGAGTTTCCGCAGAGGATCGCGCCTTTAACCCGCGTCCCCCGGGAGCTCAGCGACGCCCCCGG